CCTACCTACCTACCTACCTACCTACCTACCTACCTACCTACCTACCTACCTACTTACCTATCTACCCACCCCACCCCTCTCTCTCTCCAGGTTAATCAAGACAAGTCCTGAATTGGTGGAGGGTTGCACGTGGTTTCCAGAATCCTATGTGATTTATCCAACTAATTTGAAGACACCAGTAGCTCCAGCTGAGAATGGGCTTCAACATCTGATAAACAACACAAGAACAGATGAAAGGGAAGTCTTTCTGTCATCCTATCAGAAGAGGAAAGAGAGTGGAGAAGGAAATGTGTGGATAGCCAAATCTTCAGCAGGAGCCAAAGGTTAATTTCTGACAAAGACTCTGGAATGCATTACTTTTATTTGTATAGTTTTTTTGTTTATCCAAGAGATGTTAGGGAGCCATGGCGTATAAAAACCATGGCTTATTAATAAAAAAAAATACTACTTTGTGCTAAGCCACAATATGATGTGTTTGTTTTATACCTAGTATGTCTCATGGAGCAAAAACTGTTTTTCAATCAAATGTTTGGGTTTATTGGGATACATTAGCAATTGTGGCCTTTTTGACAAACCATGGGTAAAATAAACCATGGTATAGCTTGATACTCATTCAGCCAGGATAATTTGGCATAATTTGATTAAAACCGATAGAGAGAATGTTGATACTAAAGCCAGTTTAAAATTATTCCCTTCCCTAAGGTCAAATAGTGTGTAGTAGCTTTGTTGCAGATCTGCTGAGACCACAACTCCACTGACAAAGATAGTTGAGTAAGAAAAGTAACCACGCCTGCTTTTTGAGGTCCAGCAACAGCAGTCAAAGCTTTATTACTATACTAGAGGTCTAGAAAACTGAACTTTCTTGCAGACCTTTCATTACCTGACTAGGTAACATCTTCAGCACTAGAAGAGAGTGGGGCTTGCTCTCTCTTTATTTAAAGACCTTGCCGTTTTCGTGGAGTATATTTTTCTCCTTGGTAGTTCCTTGATTTCAGCTATGCTCCAGCCAGGTAATGAAATACCTACAAGAAAACAGTCAAGCTCAGCGATCACCATCAACTCATCAACCCTGAGTTACTCTCCTATCTCTTCTATTGATACGCAAAGTTATAGGTTAAACTCCCCAAAAAGTTTTGAGTTACAATTCTAGGAATATTAGGATTGAATTGTTGATATTTTATTTAGTACTTCTCTATCCAACTCCTTATTTTTTCAATTAGGTGAAGGAATTCTTATTTCTTCAGAGGCTACTGAACTTCTGGATTTTATAGATAATCAAGGACAAGTGCATGTGATTCAAAAATACCTGGAGAAGCCCATGCTCTTAGAACCAGGTCACCGCAAATTTGATATTAGGTAATGATTTCTTTTTAAAAAATACGTTGTATTTTTTTAAAAATACTTTTAAAAAATATTTTTTTGAAAATATTTTCTGTCGATTTAGATTTCTTCAACTAGAGTGGATATATGCATTTGTATTGCTTTTTTAGTTTTATGTAAATATTTTTAAATTCACTTTAATTACCAAGTATCATCAGATATTTGTTATTAAATCTGATTCTTCTGATTTGGAATCGTGATACCTTTAAAAAAAAAATATACACTGTAATATGTTGTTTTTATAACTTTCAGAAGTTGGGTCCTGGTGGATCACCAGTATAGCATCTACCTCTACAGAGAAGGTGTTCTACGGACCTCTTCAGAACCTTACAATAGTGCTAATTTCCTGGACAAAACCTGTCATTTGACCAATCACTGCATACAGAAAGAATATTCTAAAAACTATGGGAGATATGAAGAAGGGAATGAAATGTTTTTTGAAGAGTTTAATCAGTACTTGGTGAATACTTTGAACGTTACTTTAGAAAATACAATCTTACTGCAAGTCAAAAATATAATAAGGTATGTATTTGTCTTTTATTTTCATCCTAGCCTATCCGCAAGAATCTTTTTTGCACAATTATTATTCATATATTATCTGCACTCTTAACAACCTGACTAGAGACTAAGAGGCCAAAGACATCCAATGTGGTCCCTGGAGGCTGTGGGAAGTTTCCCCTGGAATCTGAATTGTGAATGTGTCAGAGAATGGAGAAAAAGGGCAGGAATTTTTCAGTCTCTCCCCCTCCCTCTCACACGTACACACAGTCTTTCTCTATTAGCAGTGATATTTAATGTATATTTGCAGTGATATTTAATATTTAGCTCCCTTTTTTTGCTGTATGAAAATAATTTTAGGAATACCCAACAATTTCCTCCTCCATTATAGGTAGTCCTTGACTTATGACCACAATTGAGTCCAAAATTTCTGTTACTAAGCGAGACAGCTTTAAGTGAGTTTCAACCCATTTTATGACCTTTCGGGCCAGAGTTGTTAAGTGAAATATAGTAGTTGTTAGTAACGTGGTTGTTAAGTGAATCTGGCTTCCCCACTGACTTTGCTTGTCAGCAGGTAACAAATGGTGATACATGATCCCAGGACACAACAACTGTCGTAAATACATGCCAGTTGCCAATCGTTCGAATTTTGATCATGTAACCAAAGGGATGCTGCAGTGGTTGTAAGTGTGGAAAAGATCAGAAGTAACTTTTTTCATTGTTGTTAACTTCGAATGGTTACTAAACAAATGGTTGTAAGTTGAGGACCACCTGTAATTAATGTTTCTACCATTTTGTATGTTTATACTATAAGGCAAGTTTATTCAGGCACAGAGTTTTTAGGTGCCTTACTTTATAGCAAGCCCGCTTTCCATAAAAAAACCCTTCATGTGTATCATCAGGATGACTTGCATCATGTGAAGTCCATTACCTGCCACGGAATGCTAAGATGAA